GCATTGTCAGAAGAAGGAAATTCGCATAGCGCACCAGTCCTTGTGCGCTGAGTGAATAACATCAGTTAAAGTGCAGCAGTTAAGAAAATTCGCATAGTGCACCAATACATGTGTGCTGAGCGAATTAATGAAATTAAGTGGCTTTAAAAGACGGGATAGAAAGAGAGAAACATCCTTCTGACAGAAGTTCCGGACAAAAGAAAGAAACGAAACATCTCAGGAACTTCCAGAGACTACTTCAAGGCATCAAGACACTATTTTTGCAAGGGATTGATTCAAATGTGTACATTTAGATGACTAGGAGTAGTTTTTCTTTTGTTGGAATTGGATGTAATGAACTTACTCTGATGTAATTTTCCTGTTCAATATATCGTTGTTCATTCATATGCTCTTTCTTGAATTTACTATCATTGTATGAAAATATAATGTTATTTAAATGTTTTTGATTACTGGAAAGTAACTTTGAACATTGACATAGATAGAGCACCTAAGTGATTTGGGATCTAGAGATAGACTCAATAACTTTGTCATTCTTAACATCGGACTTAATGCAAATTGTATGTTAAATTGATTAAGTGATTAGCATTTTGATATATTAATTTAGAACTAGTTGCTAAGGGATTAAGACTAGTATGCCTTGATGTGAATGTTTGAATGAAATAATGATGTATTGTACAAAGTTTTATCTTTTAAATATAATTCCTTGCACACCAACTGTTTGATAAAAATACTAAAAAGATTTTCTTGTGTTTTTTGTACACTTTGATGTCTAATTGAGTTATAAAAGAAAGAATTGTCATGTCTTGCACAAGTCCCTTGGGAGAACGATACTTTGAACTTACTCTATATTACTTGAAACGATTTGGTACACTTTCCAAAAAGTTAACCATCAATAACATCACAATTACATCACATCAGAAAACAATCCTCAAATAATCACATATACTCATTTAATTGCACTAACAATTGCTCAAACAATGAAATTATAAATCTAACAATTTTACACACATACAAGCACTAAAATTATACGACAAACATATTTTAAGGTTAAAAATATAGTTTCCTTTACGTCAAAAAAAGTTGCCACAACTCTGAAAATGTCTCACCAATTACTTGAAACACAAGAAATTCTAAAACACTTACAAAATATCGAATTGCATACAGAATGAACCCTTAGGACCTTAAATTACTATAGAATTATAATAAGAAGCCACAAAATGCATGCGACAAAAATCTCTTCGTGTGATCTCAAATTAAGAATAAAAGAGAAAAAGGATTTCAAACTTACTCTATACTAAAAATTGATCGGATAAAATTGAAGATTACTCCGCCATTATCTCCTAGGAACTTCCTGATCATCAAACAAATGATCGAGGAGTTAGAATTTTTAGAGAGAAGCAAGAAGAAGTTAAGAAAAAGAGTTTTAGAGAAATAATTTATATTTTAAAAATGAAACGAGTTTAAGAAATTTTATTTATTAAATTATTTTAACTTTAAAACATTTAATCTCATTATTTTAAAATATCTATCGACTTTAGTACTCTATTTTCTAGGTTATTATATTACTTATATAATTTCATATCAACCAATTTATTAAATTAATTTCATTGAAATTAATAAAAAGAACTAAGCTAGACTGAAAGAGCCAAATCAATCCAATTGTGAACAAATCCATTTCTCACCTTTAAAGGTAGAATTTTATAGCTAATTTGCTTTTTGTAGGTCCAATATTTAACACTCAACACAAAAGATGGATGATCCAACAAGTGGGCTGACTTAAATCAAAGAAGATAGCCCAAGGTTGTTTTGTTTTTATCCTCCTTAAAAATAAGGTTTCATATAGCCCGAAGCATATTCCAAAGGCTGCTTCTTACTGTATCTCTCTTTTTTCTTCCTACGCCCTCAGAAAACCCATAAAGATATTTTTAAAATGTATACTGTAATTTCAAATTTGAAAACACATTACAAATTACACGATTTAAAATATTTTTAAATTCTTTTTAAATTACACAATCTAAATTATATTGCTTCATTAATAATAATTATACTTTGTACAATTTAAAATATATTTCTTTATTAGGATTAATTATATTTCGAATAAGAAAAATATTGTCATTTGAACTTTAATATAACAAGAAAAGCACAACCCCACACCCCACCACCCCCACCCCACCCCACACCCCCCCCCACCCACCCCACCCACCCCCCCCCCCCCCAAAAAAAAATCCCCACCCCCACAGTGCACCCCCCCCCACCCCCCCCCCATCCCCCCCCCCCCCCCCCCTCCCCCTCCCCCCCCACCACCCCCCCCCACCCCCCCCCACCCCTCTACCAGCCCCTCCCCCCACCCCACGCCACAACCCCAATCACCCACGCCCCCTCCCCCACCCCCTCCCACACAAAATACCCCCAATCTGCCCACACCCCCCACAAACCCCCCCACCCCCCTCCCCACCCCCTCCAAATACCCCCTCCCACCCCACACCTCCCCTCCCCCCCACAACACTCCACCGACCCCCACAACTCCAATTTCCTCCCACACCCCCCCCACCCGACCCCCCCCTCCCCCCCCCCCCCCCCCACCCCTCCCCCCAACCACCCACCCCTCCCCACCCCCAACCCACCGACCCCCTCACCCACCACCCCACACCCCTCTCCACCCCTCCCGCATCCCCCACCCACACCCTACCCCCACCCCCCCCCACCCCCTGCGCCCAACACCCCCCCCTCACCCACTTCGCCCCCCCCCACATCCCCGCCCCCCCCCCTCCATCCCCCCCCACCCCCCCCCCCCAATCCACACCCCACCTCCCTCACCCCCCCCCCTACCCCCCCCACCCCATGCCTACCCACCCCCCCCGTCACACTCCCACGCCCCAACCTCCTCCCCTCCTACCCCAATCCACCCCACACATCCCGACCCCCCCGCCCCAACCCCCCCATCGCAACCCCTCCCCCACCCCGCCCCCATCACCCCCCACCCCACCCCCCCCCCCTCCACCTACCCCATCCCACCCCCCCCACACCCCCCTCCCCCCTCTCCTACCACTCCCACACCCCCCTCCAACCCCCCCCTCCCCCCAACCCCCCCCCGCAAACACCCCAAACCACCCCTACACCCACTCCCCTCCTCCCTATCGCTTCCAATGCCTCCCAACTCTCCGCCATCCTCCAACACTATCCCCACCCCCCTCCCCCCCCCACCCCCCCCGCCCCCCCCCCCCATTCATCCCAACACTCCCCCCCACTCCGCCCCCCCTTCCCCACCCCCTCCCCACCCCCCCTCCCCCCCCACCACCATACTTCCCCTCTCCCCCCACTACCCCCACCCCCCCCCCATCTCCCCTCCCACCCCACCTCCGTTCATCCACCCTCCCCTCCCTACACGCTACCATCCACCCCCACCCCCACCCCTTTCCCCACCCCCCCCCTCCCGCACCCCCCTCCCCCCTCCCCACCCCCCCCCCCCCCACCCCCCCTCCCCCCCCCACCCCCCCCCCCCCCCCCGTCCCCCACCACCCCCCTCCCCCCCTCCCCACCCCTCCCTATCCCCCCCCCCCCCCCCCACCCACCCCGCCCTACCTCCCCACCCACCCCCCACCCACCCCCGCGCTAGCCCTACCCCACCCGCCCCCCCCCCCCAGGCCTCCCCACCCCCCCCACGCCCCCCCCCATCTCCCCCACCCCCCCTGACCCCCCGCCACCCCCCCCCCCCTATCCACGACACACCCCCCCCAATCCCGACCCCCCACTCCACCCGCCCGCCCCACCCCCCCCCGAACACCCACCCCCCATCCCCCACCCCACCACCCCCCCTCCCTCCCCCCCACCCGCCCCCCCCCCCCTCCCTCCCCACCCCCCCCCCATCCCACCCCATCGTCCCCGCCCCCACCCCCACACCCCATCCCCCACCCCCGTGCGCGTGCTTCCCCCGGGGGTTGCCCCCCCCCCACCCCCAACCCCACCCACTTTCATCACACCACCCTCTTACTACTACCGCAATAACCCCCCCTCTGGCCACCACCCTCCCCCCCTACCCACCCTGCCCTCACCCTACCCAGCCCTACCCCCCTTCCTCACCCCCCTTACCCCCAACACACGCACCCCGCCAACACCCCCCCCCCCCGCCCACCCCCCCCCGACCCACCCCCCCCCCCATCCCACGTGCCCCCCCCCCCCCCCCCCCACCACCACCCGCGTCCCTCCACCCACCCCCCCCCAAACCCCCCCATCCCCACACCAGCCCCCCCACCCCACTCATTCATTACAGCCCCCCCCCCACCCCACCCCCCCCCACCACGCTCCCCCCCCCCACATCCCCCGGCAATACCTCCCCCCCACCCACCCCTTCCAAAAACATCAACAACCCGCCAACCCCACCCCCCCAGATCTACCCTCCCACCCCCCGCCACCTCCTGCAACCCCTCACCCCCCCCCCACCACCCACCCACCAACAACCGAAACAACCCCCCCCCCCCCTCCACAACCCCCTCCCATCTTTCCTCTCCACACTCAACCCATCCAAATTTACTCCCTCGTGTTTTTTTAAAGTCTTACTAATTATTATTCATCAACAAATTAATATCCGAGTAATTCATAAGAATCACACTTAAAACAATCCATTTATTAGATTTAATAAGATAACCTGGTGATAAATTGTAAAAACTGAAGAGAAGTATTGGTTCAACTCTCATATTAAGATTTAAGAGTTGCAAAATTAATTTAATAAATCTGAATGAATTTTAAGAGATATAAAATTAATCTGATAAATTTGAAAGAGATGATGAGAAAGAGGATGAATTTAACTTTCACGACTATTAAAATATAACGATAAAAAAAAGAAAATCCAATTTATTTATGTTTATTTAAAATAAGCTAATAAATATAAACCTAACATTTTATATTTAGGAGCTCAGCCACGAAATGGAGGGGTTATATGATATTTATCGATTATGATAAGGATCGATGAAGAATTAAGAAGAGTTGTGGTGTGTACTAGGTTAAAGAAAAGTAGCATAACATTATTAGAAAAGGTAAAAACAAGAAGACATCGTAAGACTGGGATGTCTTGAAATACAAGGTCTACGATGATATTTGTACTTACAGCAGAACACTATGCATTAACGAGATTGGAGTGAAGCTAAGGTCTAAGGACACTTGGTCTTGTTGCCATGGGTGGTCATGTCAGTGTAGCAAGTCCCACAGAGCTCCCTATTACCAGAAGTACCAGGTGGAACACACTTGCATCTCACACAGCACGTGCCACATGCTCTGTGGCACAAATTTGGCCTTGAATGGGCACCGCACCTTGTTTTGCACTTCCCTCCACAATCTGTGTATACAAACCCAAACAAATTAGGTTTATTCACTCGTGCCATTTAAGACCTACACTAACAACTTTTGCTTTTGTTTTGTCTACTTAGTAACTATTTATTATACAATTATGAGAACGAAACTTGGAAATGAGTGCTCCATGCTTATAACTGGAAGCTCAACAACCTAATTAACAACCTAATAAAGTTTACAGACATTGCTTTCTCTCATGCTTACCTATGTCTTGCATTAGCCTCTTGTTCCGTCTCTCACTCACACTGTAAGCTTAGTGGAATTCAGTAAGGATTTTATAAGTATATGGTTACATCGAGCACAAAAAATATAAAATAATAAAGAAATATATTTTGACTGATATTTTTCAAGAAAATAAAACATACAGGGTCATCAGGAAAGCGAAGTTCTTCTTTTTCTGTGTTAACATCAGATGAAACCTGTGTATTGCAAACAACAATAAAAGAAGAAGAAAGTGGTTCAGTCTCATCTTTTTTACCTAATCTTTTTTACCTAATCGTGAACAAAAGAAGTTGATTCAAGATCTGAATATCTGAAAGACATTGGTAATGTTAATTTGTGCACCTTGGCAACACAAACCAGTAGCAATATCCCCAGCAGTACAAGCTCCCGTAATGCCATTGCAGCAGAAATTGTGTCTCCAAATGCTAGAGTGTTAGTGATTTGCTCACTCTACATGCTAGCATTTATATAGGCAAAAAGGGTAGTAAAAAAAAATCACATCTTGCAACTTGAAAATACCAAAATGCCTAATCTTTGGCTCTATGTAAGCCTATTTTTAAACAGATTTTAATCCATCAAATGCCAGAAAGAAAAAGCTCATGTTTTACGTGTCATTGTCTGCCACAGTGGTAGCCGGTAAGTACACTGTTTCGGTGTGTACGATTTTTTCATATATATCTTACTAACTACTATTATATAAATAAAGAAAACATTTTTTTTATATTCTAGCATTTATTTTATTCTATATAAAATAATAAGAGACTTATTAAGATTATAGTATAAGAAAACACATGGAACGGAGTTCCGTATTTTGTATCAGTGGTAATGGTGCACCAGTTTTTTTTTTTTTTTTCATTTGTTTGGATTAAGAAGTTGCATGTCTATTTATAATGCAATTTTGGTGAAGAAAATGTGGTTTTGTTTGATTCGAAGTTGGTTGAATGCATAGAGATAAGATTGAAGTTATTGAGGTGAAATGATGAATTGCATACAGCTGGATGAAGGCTGGAAGCAGTGGTATCTCAATAGTTGGTAGAACAACAAGGAGACCCTCTGACACTGTTACTTTCAGTATCACCAGTCACCGAAGGATTTCATAAACATTATAAATTATTTCGTGGGGGAAAGTACACCCTGTACGAATCCTGAGTCCAAAAAAAATTATATCATTTTATAGCTTTCTTGTAACCAAATCGTAAATTTTTTATTTACTTCAATTTAATTTTTAATTTGGAAAATTTGATAGAAATCAAATATGTTTATTAGTATTGTATTAACGAGTTATTATTTTCTAATCTCAATTTAATCCTTTAAATTATTTAATTCTTTTAAAAATAAAATAAAATAAAAATATAAAAGTTAAATTAAGATTAAGACAATGATAATTATCATGAAAGTGACCCATAACATTAACACAATCACCCCTTTAATAAAAACTCCAAAGGAAAGTTGAAAAAAAATACTTGAAGCAACATCTAGAAACTTAACAATTACTTTGGATCAAGAATATGTTTTGAAACCATCTTCATCTGCTAATTGTTACTTTTATATCTGTTATGAAACAAAATACTCTTAACTAACTCATATTTTAGAGAGATGAATTTCTAATTAAAAAAAAAGATTATATTAACCTATTTCTACAAAATTATTTTCTTATTCATTTAAAGTTATATCCTTAAAACAAATAAACATCATAAATCCTTCATCAATGAGATTAAAAATGCACTAGTTATATTGAATTCATAGTATTAAAACTAGAAGAAATTCAAATATAAAAGCGTTAATAATAGAAAAAAAATGATAAACTTTGATGAAAAAAGTTTCATTATTTTTAAATATTTATTATTACAAAAAACTTATATTTTTTATGGTTTAATATTTTTTAAGTCCCTAATTGTTAGTTAAGAAGGTTCTCACTTATTTTTTGTCTCAATTGGGATCCTACTTTTTAAAAATTAAAGAAATTAGGTATTGTCGTTAGTTCAGTACTAACACAGTTAAAGGTGTCACGTATCACTGCATGGCTTTTTAAAATTTTTTAAATATATTTTTTAATTTTATTATTATTTTTAATTTAAAAGAAGGGTCACGTGTCAAACTGATGTTATGTCACGTGGTAATGACAATGTGACATGACATTGACAGTGCCATGTGTCACTGTCAAGTCACGTGTCAATTAATTATATAATGTTAATTATGTTATTTAAATAAAAACATAAACAAACTTAATCTTCTTAAAATATTTGTTAAGATTTATATGCAAATTAAATTTTGTTTCAATTTGGAAAGAGACATCATTTTTTAATATTTTAAATTAGGACTAAATTGAGATAAAATAAAAATTCAGTGACCAAAACAAAATAAAAATATAAAGACCAAACTGAGATTAATGCAATGACATGTGGCCTGACAGTGGCACACTATCAGTGCATTGTCACACTATCATTACCACGTGGCATAATATCAGTTTGAAAAGTGACTTTTTTATTTTATTAAAAAAGATAACAACATAAAAAAGAGTTTGAAACGGGACTTTTTTTATTTTATTAAAAAAGATAAAAAAATAAAAAAGTAAAAAAAATTCAAGAAAACCACACATTGACACGTGACACTTTCTTTAACGATGTTAGTACAAAACTAATTGCAATAACTTCATTGTTTTAATTTTTTAAAAATAAAAACCCAATTAAGAAAAAAATAAACAACAACTTATTTGAGATTTTTGAACAAAAGCAGCTTGACTAAACTTTTCTTATTAATCATACTAAAAAAAATATACACAGAGTCTCTGTTTCACTTGTTAGAATAAAAAATTTGTAACCCAATTGATCAATATTTTAAAACACGCCATAAATTGTTGGCCTAGCTTTATCCTATGTTACACCCGTGGGTAACGAACCATTTTTGGCATATAAGTAAAAATTTAAAAATATTACAACATGTTCATAAAAAAAATGTGAGAAGTATGTTTTTAATCTTCAATAACTATTGATAATTAATGTTTTGAAAAAGGAACCAGCAAAACGTTAACAACAAGCTTGAGTGTCCTTGACAACAAAGGCGTGGAGATGGAGGCACGACATGTGGTATCAAAGGTCACAGTACAATATTTATAACAAAGAAGATGGATGTGCACGTGAGTAAGGAAAATATAAGAGGAGTACAAAAAGGCACTAAGATTTCTTTCTTTTTTATGAGAATATACAATTTTTAAAAAAAATTAAGATAAAATAATCTATTAACTCATGCATCATTGATCGTACAAATATAGGACTGAACATGTCAATATATTCTTACTAAAATAATAAAAGTAACAATTTTGAAAATTTACTCAATACTTTTGATTTTGAGTAAACTGAAATTATAAGGTTATATAGTATGGGTTTCTAAAAAATCGAATATATATATATATACCTTTTTCTCAGATAATTATTTAAATATATAGTGAAATTTTAGTGAAACTTTAAAATTCCTAAAAAATTTAACTTATCTTTCGGTTCTTTAATAAATATATATATATATATATATATATATATATATATATATATATAATTTAGAGCTGTCAAAATGGGTCACAAACTGCAGGTCAATCTGGTTCAATATGGATTTGAGCCGAGTTGGATTTGAGCCGGGTTGGGTTTGAAAAAATTATAGTTTTTTTATGCGGGTCAGATTTCAATCCGACTCATGCAGGTTAAACCCGTGGTGAGCCGGATTGGTCCACCAACCCACCTACCTAATTTTATTTTATTAAAATTTAATTTTAATTTTATAAAAATATTTATTATTATTTTTTGCTTGAAAAAATTATTTAAGTTCCTTATTTTCAAAATTAATTAAACATCGGAATGAAATTGGGAGTTAAATTTGTTTAGATTTGAATTATAGAAAGTTTGTAATTTTTTTATTTAAAAAAAATTGTAATTAAGTGAGCCAGTAAACCAACCCGTTTACCCACCAACCCGTGGTGGGTCGGACTGAGTTCAAATTTTTCTGCCTCGCTAATAAATGAGTCGGTTGAGTTGACTCACTAAGTGATCAACCCGGGTGGGCCAGGCCGAGTTACCCGTTTTTACGTTCTAACTATAACTATAATATAACTTATATATATATTCTGATAAAAATTAAAAACATAATGAAAATTTTACACATTTTCCGGTTTCAATTCCATAATAACTGAAGAAAAAAAATATGGTTTTGGTGGTAGAGAAATCGAAACCTATAAGTTAATGAAATTTTTAAAATAACCAACATATTTTTATATATTTCGTTTTCTTTAAAACAGAAGCCTATCAAACTAAATAAAAAGAAAAATATAATGAAATATTTTTTATTTATTTTTTAATTTGATTTAATCTGAATCATACATCACACATCAATCTATTAGACCAAACCTATTTTAACAACTAATGATAAGTATAAAAACTAAAAAAATATATTTTTAAATTTAGAAATCAAACAACTAAATGAATAAAAATCAATAAATATATAAGATTAATGAGAATAAATGAATTCATAGATCACTTCCGAAAATTTCATTTGCACGGAAAATCTTCCGTACGTAGATTGCTTCTTAGTGCATATATAGGTGAGCAAATGAAATTAAACTACATTGCTAAAAGTTGTACTAAACTAAAAATTAATGTGTTTAAACTGTCAAACTGAATTGAACTGAACTATACTAAGTTGTATTAAATTACAATATAAACTGAACTGAACTACTAAACGAATTATAAACTGTACTAATTTTAACAGAACTAGGCAAATATTGGAGTTCAACAAGTCGTTACAGATAATCATCCACGATGATTTATTATGAATGTATTTTATACAGAGTAAAAAAAATGTAACATATGAAATATTAATACTATCTTAATTTGGACATTTTAAATTTAAATAATAATTAACTATATTTATATTTTTTAAATATTGAAAGGTTTTCTAAAAATATTTTAAATAAAATATATTAAATAAATATCTTTTAATATAATAGACGAGTAAAGTTTTATCATTCATTTGTTTATTTTCATTTATATTTTTATACCCACTAAGTTTGTTTTATCATTCTCAAGTAAACGTACTTGTATCTAGGATTATATCTATTTATTTATTATTTTACACATTAACTAATTTTTATATAAAATATAAAAATCAAAATAAGATAAACATAATATTATAATTAATTTGATGGAAGCGCAATTTTTCATTATCAAATATTAAAAATATATCATAATTATATAAATATTAAATAAAAATAAAAATAAAAATAATTATAAAAAATCAGTAAAAATAATCAAATGCTAATTTAATGAGATTGAGATTTGAATTAAATTTGAACAAAATCATAAAAAACACAATACAGTTTTAGAAATAATTGAAAAATTGAAAATGAAAGAAGGATGAAAAACACAATACAGTTATTGCAATTAATTGAATCAAAAATGTCATAAGTTCAGTTTTTAAAAACTGAACCATAAAATAGTATAT